CCTTTTGCACACTTCCCCCTGCTATTCTCATTCTTTTTCATCTGAAAGATGTGTTTAATTTTCATTCCACCTCTCTACCAGTCTCTTCTACATGTGTGACAATTCTAACTACCCTCCCTTGAAGGCTGTGCCTGTTCCCCAGAGAGGACTGCTTTGTTTTCTATGATCCTCAGATATTCTGCAGGCACCTTTGTTCTAGAAAATGACCAATTCTGACTTATTATAATTAATTCATCCCTCAAATATTTGTGGAAGCATTTATTTAGGCTCTAAAACCTAAGGTAAAGTCCATGCCCTTCATTTTTAAAGTCAGGGAGAGGCTGAAAAACAAAGGATTCTGAAACAACGTGGGAGTGAGATTGAATACAAACACAGGTTTATTATCTTCTTTCTCCCCCCATGAGGGGGAGAAATGGTGTCTCTTTTATACCCTTTGTTGCACAGCACTTTGCACATGGGCTAGCCAACAGACCATTTATTGAATAACTGAATGAACACATCTTAAACAGAAGAAAACAACAAAGTGCAACTTACCGAGTGTCCGGAAAGGTCTCTGACTTGGTAAATGGGAGAAGAAGCCAGGCTTCAGTGCATTTGTAATCACAATGTCAAAAAGATCTGCAAAATCATCCCTAAAAAGCAACACATTTTTTCATAAATTTAGAAATAGTCTATATAAAACAGAACTTGATCTTTGCCTACCTACTTGACCACAGCATCATTTCTTATCTTTTGATTAACTTTTTATATGCTTTCTATACATTTTAAGGTGCGTCTTACCCTGTAAATAGAAAGTGGTTTAGCACTAGTATTCCTGACACCACCTTGAAGTATAAACACAAGAAAAGAAAGAGCACATTAACTCATTAACTCTAGGTGCGAAGCTTTCTCATGATGAAAACAGTCATGGTAAGTGCATTCTGTAGCTTCTAACAGCTAGAAACAGTCACAAGCTATGTCTTCCTATGAGTCTGGAAATGTGTCTGGATTTGTTAGCCTG